AGTCAATATATAGTTAATATTTTTTAGGGAGCTGATGATGATCGATGTCTTTTTAGTCAGTTAACTTCCACATAGTTAATTCATTTAATACTAAGAGGTACCGTGTTGCCTATCGAATTTCTAAAAGAGACAAAATTTTTAGTGATGCGAACATGTCTTTTTGTTGTTAACTCTCTCACAAGTACAAAAAACAATATTTTAGGTATTGTTTTTTACTCCGCCTCACACTAAAAAGCAGTTTACGACTAGGTGCCGACTAGCAGTCTCGTTTGCAGCTTTTAGACCACCGAGATAATGAATTTTTACGTAAGTGATTTTATAGTAAAACCTTCACACTTTAAGGAATTCAGTTGGAAACCCATTAAATTCAATAATTTTATAGTTTTCCTTACACGATGTCAAGGAAACGCCGCAATCAGAGGTGAATTCTACTCAAATAGACACGGAGACTATACGTTCCAATCACGGCAAAACTATAAAATTGGCAAAAAAAAATTTTTTGTTGATGCATGATAAGTCTTTAAATAACATCAACTAATAACTTATATATATCAATGGTCATTATTTGTATTATTTTTTCACCAGTATAACTAGTACTTATCTCAGCAAGAAGTTTTATTCTTTTTGTTAAAATAATCACAATTTTAACAAAGAGATTCTCAGCCAGACAATCATATACCAAAAAATAGAGGAGATTGACATTTTATTATAAATATTACATTACATAAGTACTCTTTTACATAGATACATTACATTAAACATAATCAAGACATATTTACACATACAACATAGTTAAACATATTGTAAATAGATGCTAAGCTCCTGTGATGATTTAAAAAAACATTCAACTAAACAGTGTTCAATGATAACGTTAGGTATGTCTACGGTACTTGCAATGTCAATAGCTATTTATAAATCACAAACGACTTCTTGTAGCAATATACGATATTGTGCTATAAGAAATAAAGATAATCCTCAATATACATTATTAGGGATTTAGGGGCTTTTGTGTACCGCTTCGTGCTTTCAGTTTGTTCAAGTAAGCTGCTTAAATTAAGTTATTTTACTCATATAGCAAGATGTGGAAAATTTTATATTTAGATCAATAACATACAAGGTGAAATTCTCATGAATTCATATCAAGTATCAAAGTACGTATCTTTTAATGACATAATAATTTCGTATTTATAGAAACGTTTTTAACGCCCACGTTTTGCCTACTATATATAATTTTAGTACCAATTATTACAATTGATCATAGGCATATTGAAGTCGGTAATACTATTTAAAAAATTATTTGTTTTATTCATCAACAGCCTTAGAAAGGACAGGAGGTTTTGGTATACTATACAACGCTGGCCAGACGGGTTGGTATTATTCCTTCTCTTTGGAGTGCTGTTGTCCTGCGTAGTTTGCTCCCTTAGTCGGCTCTTACGACATCCACGGTATAAACAAGTGACATTCCATTTTCTTAATCCGTCATCGTTTTATAGGTATAAGAATGAAATATAAAATTTGATTTTATAGTCCGTCCTGAAAATTTATTATAAGACACGATTAACTATAAAGTCCATCTAGTCCATCATCTATCTATCTATCACCTAGGATTCAATTACTACTACTATTTAATGTTTAATTATCTATTTTATTAAAACAACTTAATGCTCAAATTTTTCAGTTGACCTTCGGGTTATGTAAAAATATCATAGTATAAAATATATAATAGTAGGTGCAGAGACAAAATAGAAAATTTGACATTTATATTAAATTGATTAACTTAAGATAAATCTAACTTAGATATCTACTTTACTCGTACACATCACAATCTATTTTACGCAAATAACAAAGTTTGTAAAGTTTTATACACAATTCCACTAAGAGGAATAATCTAAAAGAATTATAGCTACTTTACAAAAACACTTCATAATACCTTAGTACCATACTATAAAAATAAATAATTACGATGTTCTGGAAGTATGTAATATTCAAGATATTAGCGCATTTCTTTCACCCATACAACGTTTACAGCTAAACAAAAAATCTTCGTTGCAACAATTCCCGATACTGAGTAGCCCATTCACCGGCCCTCTTTTTTTTTTTTTTTTTTTTTTTCCGTGCGGAAATCTCCTCGGATACCACCTGTCGGTGGCATGTCGGACTCGAACCGACTAAAACCGCACGCCTTCGCCGGGTACTAATAGCCGGGGAACCAGGTATACCCTAGAAAGGAAGGCCCTGGTGCATTCACCGGCCCCCTGCCTCTTTGAAGGCCTTTCATTACTGCCATGTTTTGTGACAAAATATCCTTAGCTAATTTAGAATATTTTCACTGGAGTTTTCAATGTACCTGTAAACTGTTACCTGACTGAATTCTGGATAGAGTTTTAGTAAATTAATTGAAACAAATTATGAATTGATATAAAGGTATATAAAATATGTGTTTTAGACAAAGTTTTATTCTACTGAGTAACGGTACGGTAATAAATAAAATCATTGCCGACGTTATATCTGCTTACAGAGATTTTACTTTATTCTACTCTATTGCTACTAGTTTACTTTTATCATTCTCATGTACATCTCACATACATATGTGATTATTATGCAATGTGAACTATCTTAAAACGTGGTTTGATAATGGTTACACCAAGTTATCATCTGTAATAGTTGATAATCATTGGAGGTAATCGAAATATCAAGACGTAGTCCATCAGCTCAATGCGGAAGGCCTCGCTACATAGTGAAGCTTTTGAATGGAAAACGTGATTTTAGTCAAGTTTTTTTCGACAAAAACGGATTCTTGAACGCAAAAAGTTTTCGGTAAAGCACACGCGTGGGAACCGCTGTTGACGGGACGACGACATTCGTTTGTCATGGATTAGTGTATTTTGGATAAGAATATACCTTCAATTAAATTTAAAAATATTGTAGATAATTTTAATAGATAATTACCTAATCTTTAGCGTAATGCTTTTTCTGTTTCTAGTAGCATAGTCTTACAATAGCTTACATAGTTGGCCATATTTTGTTACTCAATACATCTACAGATCGTTTAATTGATCTCATAAAATTTTGTTATTTTCTCATTTGCAATAAGTTAAACGCCTAGGGCCAAGCCAACCAGATAATCAAGCACGGTGGACCCCATCATTCTTACTCGTAGTTATGAACAAGTCGGATTGGACAAAACATTTCTGGATTTATAAGACTGATTGTTCATTAACTAGGCCTAATCTTAATCCATTTCGTTTTTATTTATGGTCTCCTTTAGAGATTCGTGCGTTCGTCCGTGTAGTGACGGATTAAGAATACGGAATGTCACTACCCCAATTCATCCCGTGGGTGTCGTAAGAGGCGACTAAGAGCGCAAAACAACGCAGGACACTAGCACTGCAAAAAGAAGGAAAACTTGATACAATCCCTATACCAACCCGTCTGGCCAGCGTGGTATAGTAGGCCAAAACCTCCTTTCTAAGGAGAGGCCTATGTCCAGCAGTGGACTATTAAAGGCTGATTGATGATGATGATTAGAGATTATATGCATGTTCTACAGTGCTGAGATAAATTAACGCCCCTAAAACATTCACTAATATAAACAGTGGCAAGTGTAACTAACCGGCTAAAAAATTTAAAAGATTGTTTTAAGACCAATGAAAAGTATTTAGAGTGTTTTTTAATTTTTTATGTTAGAGGGGGCAGACGAGCAGACGGATCACCTGATGGAAAGTGACTATCGCCGCCCATGAACGTCTGCAACTCAGGAGTCACAAGCGCGTTGCCGTGCCCACCGGTGTGTCAGAAAGACGAGAAGATCACCAGCTGAGTGACCCCGGCGAAAACCATATTGTCGGTCATTGAGTAGCTGGTGATCATCCAAGGACCGGAGGAGCTGGCTGTTGATTATGGATTCCATAATCTTAGAGAACAAAGGAGTTATGGCTATAGCCCTGTAGTTGGACGGCTCAGAGCGGTCACCTTTTTTAGGGATCGGGTGCACAAATGCTACCTTCCAGGAGTTCGGGACGCCGCCTTGGGAGTAGAAGAGACGAAAAAGACGCGGTAAAACCGGTGCCAACTAAGGAGCACACGTCTTCAACAATCGAATGTCGAGGGAAAAGAGTGTTTGATTTTAATTTCTTTGTGTAATATATGTTACAAGTTACATAAAAAAAGCTTTTCTCCTTATAATATTGAGTACAACGCCGTATATTATGCGATAACCAAAACCCACTTAATAAGTATTTTCTCATTGATCGGATTGATCTTGTTATTGAGAAAATAAGGGTTTCAATAACTCTTCGATTTTCGCGATAATCTTATTAACGTTAACCTTTATATATTCTCATGTCAGCTACTCTGTTATTTCAAGCTTGTTATAACATGAATCTTTTCTTTTTCATGAATCTGAACACTCGGCGTAGTAGGAAGCGGCGTGGCGACCGCTTAAACCACTACGCCATCCGTGCAGTCAAATGGGATCGTTATGCCCTCAGTTTGTGAATTAAGACTTTGAATTTAATCTACGGATGTGTGTCACGGTAAGCAATATAAATGAGTTAACAACACAAATAGTGTATTAGGTTTGGCGTGCTCTCAAGTGATAGTTCTGGCATTACTTGTTTATCATTTACTATTTGGTTTCAGAATTTGCTTGATTTTTTATTAACTAAACAAATTCTTCTATTGAAAGAATAATAATTACAAAAACGCAAAGTTCTTTTGTAAAAAATGAATATTAAAAAATGATATAAATATTCTAAATTAAAAATATGTATATACATATATATATATCATGTTTCGTTGATTAACCAAAAAGCTTTCGACTGCGTGAGATGGCACAAACTGTGGGAGATTCTGGCTAAGGCGGGGGTACCGACTCACCTGGTGATGTTAATCCGTACGCTGTATGAATCCGGATGTGGTACAGTGACAATTGAAAATATAAAATCAAACCGATTCAAGTGATATCTCCCATTTTATTAAATATATATGGTGGGCACATAATGCGTCGTTCGCTTGAAAACTGGGAAAGGGGTATCAATATAGGTGGAGTCACCATATTTAACCTCAGCTACGCAGATGGCATCACCCTCTTCGCCTCATCCGAAGTAGAAATGGCCGAGCTGCTGATGAGACCGGAAACTATTAGCCTAGAAATGGGTCTTGCCATTAACAAATCGAAGACCAAGCTGATGGTAATCGACCGTTTCGCGTCAGTCCAGCAAACCAACCTTCAGCAGGAGTACGAAACGGTGGACCAGTTTCAGTATCTTGATTCTGTGATTACGCATGGTGGCAGCTGCGAAACGGCAATACGTATACGGATCGGCATAGAGAAGACAAAGATGACTCAACTAAACAAATTATGGACTGTAATATCACAAACAAAACTAAAATACATTTCGTTCGCACACTTGCCTTCTCTATTGGTATGTATGGTGCAGAGACATGGACTATTAAAACCGCTGATAAGCAGAGAGTTGATGCCTTCAAAATGTGCCGTTGGCGCCGTATGTTAAGGATACCATGGACGGCACATCGCACAAATGTTTTCATACTGAAGCAACTGAAAATAGAGAATGTTCAGCGTCTGTCGTCAACTTGCAGGCAACGTATTATTATCGTAACGTAACGTTTTAATATTTCGTGCGTGATGCTCGCCGAAATGATGACGACCTGGAGCGTTTGATGGTGACCGAAGGTTAAAAAAGAAGATAAGGGTAGAAGAGAAGAGACCCAGAGGCAGAAGACCCAGAAGATGGTCAGACCAGATCACTGAACAGCTAAAAAGGCCAATAAGTATCACACTCCACTGATCGACTGATCGCAGCCGATGGCAGCAGATGGTTGACAGGATAAAAGGAGACGCAATCCTCAGCAGTGAGGGATCGACTAAGAAGAGACAGATTTATATAAAAAACAAAAACATAAACAAAAAAGATTCGAGGAGACCATGTGAGAATCATTAAAAGTAAATCCATACGTAACACATATATGCGCCTAAGTAGGCAGTAGGAAGATGCTTTTTAATCACCCCTATTTTGTTAATTATAACTACATAGATCCCACTTACATATTCATAAAATTATTACTGTTTATGTGAAAGCTATTTTAGCCCGCAATAATTATTCTTATCCAAATGTAGTTTAATCTAATACCTTAGAAACACCGATAAGAAAAGTCGTGGACTCATTTTAATTGGACATGACGAATCAAGTTTGTTGGAAACATTGGGCGGGGACTGTTTGCGGAGGCGGATGTAGTTTTTATTAAGCCTCTGTGCATCTAGTCCTCTATGTTAATTAGTATCCTATGAATAAGTATTCAGTCTTATAGCCGACAATATTATTATTCATCATATTATATTAGGATAACTAGCTGCGAATCGTAAAACAAACAACAAATCATTTGGTAGATAGTGTAGCAGTAATTAAAACGGCAACATCATTAACGAGTTTGTTTCTCATACACGTTGTTTCACATACACACACTTATACATATCACACACGCATGCACATAAAGTATGCTTGGTATAATTGTAGATTTATTGTAAATCACGGGAAGGACCGAGTAAACCCTGACACAAGTATTTTTATTCACTTACTGAGATAGTCTTTAATGTATGAGACAGTAAAATAAATAAAAATAAAAAGTATACGTTGTGATGTACGAAAGACAGGACACAGAGAACCTTAGATTCTGTAAAGACGTTATTATCTCGGTCGGATACTTGAAACGACTTACGACATCTATATTAGTGTGAGCTTGTATCTATTTATTAAACTCTTTTTTCATTATCTATTTATTAAACTCTTTTAACATTTTGTAATAATATTTACTCTGATGTTAGAATAAGTTATGGTATTTCATTCATACCTATATTGTTACCTATTCTATATCAAGTGTGTTTACAAATTATAATTATACAGAGTCAATTCAATTAACTAATTTCTCCTCACAATTAGTTAAGTTACTAATTTCTTGGAAACAGTACAAGTATACAACACAGCACCCGAAACTAACGAGAGAGACTGGTGCCTGATGTAGATTTATTAAAATATGTATTACAGGTCACCAGGACCCTCCCGTTTCAGTATAATACAATGTGCTTATACACATTGTATTATATGTATTAAATAAACAGTGAGAATGTATAAAAGTAATATCAACTTAAGCTAAGCATAAGCTTATAAGCTTTTTGTACGAATGGAGACAACTAGCTACTATCTAGCTAACGTGTTATGTTGCTAGTCATGCTCGAATTTTCATCATTACAATCGAACTTAAACGCGTTAGCTGAAGTCGGCAATGAACCAAACATCTCTGGATTGAATGTATTATTACTTGCTGTTATTGTATTTTCAATTGTATAGTTATTTATAGAAAATAATGCAACATTTAACTTTATTTTTACCTATTGGGATGGATCTCAGTGATCCTGACTGCTAGCTAGAGGATTCGAGTCAGCGGCGGGAAAAATATTTGTAAGAGTTTAATAAAAGTGTTTCTTTAAATTTATCAGCAATCTGTATGTATCATCACATCATCAACAGCCTTTAATAGTCCACTGCTGGACGTAGGCCTCTCCTTAGCAAGGAGGTTTTGGCCTACTATACCACGCTGGCCAGACGGATTGGTATAGGGTTTGTGTCAAGTTTTCCTTCTTTTTGCAATTCTGTATGTATAAATGACATAAAGCTGGTTGTACGTTTATTTACCATAAAGTTTAGTTTAGTTAGTAGTAATATTAATAGTACAGGCTCTGTCTAGTTTGGGATCAGACGGTCGAGTATAAGTGAAGTTATTTTTATTATCAGTAATAGTTATAATTATTAAAATTTAGTGAACAATTTCAAAACTGACTAATTATATTTTCTATATTTATTAAAATAAAGGTTATTATTACTTTATAAGTAGGTACGCTGTATCCGGCGGGGTTCAAAACTTAGATTACTTATGTTGAGTTTAAGTTTTAACACCTAATTAAACATTTTGGAATGTATAATTAAGAGTTGGATTAAGTTAAATAAAAGTATAACTTTTAACGTAAAAACAGAGACAAATATAATTGGAACGGTGATAATACATGTTTAATATTTACGATAAATTGACCCATAAAATGTTGTCTATTTCGTGCAATAAATGAAATAAAATTATGTATTGATTTCGTAAACTATAACTATAGCATCGTATTAGGCTGTTAAAGTTTGTCTATAGGTTTAGTTATGTAAACTAAACCTATAGACATAGTTCATTTAACATTTCAATAAAAGATAATAACACAACATTTCGGCCATAATGTATTTTCACGGTAGAGTCCATCGATTGGAAGACAATACGACATGCATTCCTATTATTTGCACAGTACATTCCTACAATGGCGGCTACTTTTATTTATAATGTTTAAATTTTACTTTAAAAATGAATGGTATCAATAATCGAATTAGCACCGTGATACATACAAATAGTTATGTGAACAGCGTTTTCTGTTTCTGGTATGTTATAAATACATACCAATCTTGTATTTGCGTATCGGACAGCGGTAATCGTATCTAACGACTACTAAAACATGTAAAACTCTCTACATGATTGTTCTCACACTGCGTGAGAACGAAAAATCACAAAATTGAATTACGGGCTAACTGTCCGGCAATTAAACATTCAAAAACAGCGACAGTTATAGCGGGTATGGTCGCAGGTGCTTCGTGGGTTTCGGATTGGAGGGGTGGTGGGGATCGTCACGTCAATAATCGGTCGTCGCCTTTGGTTTTTCGGAAAAATCTTATCGGTACCCGATTGATTTTCACAGCGGATAATGCACGCACGTGTCGCGTTCGGATCCGACGAATATTAGACACACTGTCGCTACCTGATTGAGCTGTGTCCACTGCACGCTGCGACAGGTTGTTTGCTAAAAATAGTTTTTCGAATTTTGAAAATGGGGTAATTGTTTTTTTTTGCTTCTCATTATTTTTAACCTTGCTTCAGTTAAGTCAAAGATCAGAGGTCAAAGAGTTAGAGCTTTTAGAATGCATTAAAAAACTTATAGAAAACATAATGTTGCTGAAAGTATTTGCAGTCGAAAAAGGTATAAATGGGTAACGCAGCTGTAACTTTACCGCTTTTGCTTGTAAACTCTTCATTTCCCAAATAATCATTTAAATTTAATAATAATATAAATAATAAACATAATAAACTAAACAATGTTTGACACAGTTCTCAAGATGCAAGATTCTAATGTAAGAACATTTAACATTTAAGGTGACATTTAGAAGTTACTTTTCAAGAAAGCTATTTAGGTAGAAGCGTATCGAAAGCATTTGTTTAGCAAAAATTTACAATTACCTAAAAATATTTCTTGACGGCACTTGCTGCTGGTCGGAATCGGTTCTCACGAGAAATGATTCGGCGGCAATCCGAATGTCCACAGAGCTCCGATCAAATGCGAAAGTCGTGCATGTCCACTGACCACTCGACCAAAAAAGTCAACACAGATTCCAGGTTTTTGTGAAATATTGATTGAAATAAAAAAAAAATAATTACTGATATCACAACGAAAATAAATTTAGGTGTATTGCACACACAAGTGATTGATGATAGGAGGATATCTATTCATATACCTCATAATCATGATAGTTTGGGATCAGAGAGCCGTGTGTGAGATGTGAGATGAGATACTCATACTCCATCAGTATGTGCGCAACATATATTACACCAGATGTGTCCCTGAAAAAAATCCTGCGTATCTTATCTGGTCACTGAGATACTAAACGCTTAATCGTTCGTTGACAAACTCTTAGGCAGGACCGCATAGAGAGTTAAGAAAAGTTTGCCAACAAGTGATTTTACGTGGCACAATGGCCATAAAGATAGTGATAGTGCCAGGTTCAAGTGGGATTAGGTCGCATTAGCCGACTGGGTAACTATGGGTAGTATCTATGCAATGGGTGTCTGAAGATGGAAGGCACCATCGAGACCGGCTCAGGACTTGATCCACTTCGAACATGGATCAAGTTCGAGAAAAAAATATTTACTTAGCACAAATATTTTCGGAGTGGGACAATATAGTCAAGAAAAAAAATGTAGTTACCTTAAGTCAAGACAGATTAAAATACAATGAATATAACTTTGATTGTAAAAGCTGAGTCAATGTCACTTTGAAATGCTTTTACTTTATAAATGTTTATACGGAGAAACTAACAAGTTATAATTTATAAATAACGGCATTCATTATCGTTTTAAAGCGACCATCACAAAGGGTAACATTTGTTCAACTTTTTGTCTATTGACTGCAAAGGAATTGAAACAGTACTAAATAATGGGTACGAGGGTGTCGACACGCTGTTTTGTTTTCTAATCAACCAAAAGCTTGAAACTTTCGACGTTCAGTTGGACCTCATACTGTGACCTTTTATCGAGAGTACAGCATGTCTTATTTTGAACAAATTATTAGTCTGGTTTAGCATAGAGCGAATAACAATCGCTCGTGATTCCTGTAAGCACAGCATAGTAACAATGATTTATTATTAGCGTGCTAGTGACTCATAGGTAGCCATTAGTCTGGGACATTGTCTTTGATGCAGCGAGCACCTCTTCGCAGCTGGAGGGCTTTGCGTGTTTACAAACATTTTATTGAGGTGTTATGTTTAATGGCTCCTTTAGAAGGTGATTTTCATTGTTTTGTTGACTATAATTGACTGTGTATAGTTATTATCGCAGAAAAATTTGCCTTCAATGTTTATGGGATTAGTGCTGTGCGTACATCTCAGTTCTTAATAGTGATATAGTGCACTTAAACTTCGTTTTATATAAGTCAGTGAAAATATTATGGGTTTATTGCTAGGCGTCTATTTTATGAACGATATGAATTATGTACTTTATTTTGGAACCTCAATCATTAATAACATGTGAGGCGTTTATTTAATACTAGCGACTCGGGGCGGTTTCGCACGGGTGCAATGTAGATACTACTAATGTAGTGTCAGTGTGGAGTAATTAATTATACTATTATTAGGATAAGGCACTACAGGAGATCTTTATATGCAATATTTATAGGCCCAACGGCCGCTTTCCCCTGTATTTTAAATCTCTGATATAAGGTACTCATATTAATTATATGCTGAAAAAGGCAATAAAGATCTATATTAAATGAAAAATGTATCTAAAATATTTATTTTGTTAAGAAATAACACCGTGTTCTAAGAGAAATAGCTTCGCAAATTACCCATTATTCTTGTAAAATGTAAAAGATAAAAATGGTTACTGTGAGTTATTCTTATGAGATAGGCATATACCATCGCGGATTTTATTGTAGATCGTTTTAAGATATACAATGTCGTAGTCTATCTTGTAATGTCTTGTAATGTAATCGCACAAAATATGTTTTTCCCTTTGATATTCTCGGATTGCCTCAACTATAATATGTATGTATTATACATATAAACCCGCCTTTTGTATGACTATCTCTATGGGTGAAACCCGCATTAAAATCCGTTGCGTAGTTAGAAAGATCTAAGTGTACGAGAAAAAAGCGACCTCATTTTATACTGTCTCAAGAAATAAAAGTACACAGGCATTTCAAGATTTTAAAATGTTTAGTAATTATGAAGTGGATCGTTATGATAATCGAGGCGCCACTGACACACCAGTTTAGTTTGCTTTAATTTTTGAGAAGGCATTCGACCGGGTACATTATGGGGTCCTTATTGCAAAATTAAATGCCGTGGGAATAAAAGGTAACCTTTTGCGATGGCTGGAATCCTATTTGAGAAATAGGCGTCAGGCGGTAGTGATAGGCGGTTATAGATCGGACTATGTAGATGTCACCTCGGGGGTGCTGCAAGGATCGTTATTATCGCCTTTATTATATAATATCTATCTTTATGATTTACCAGATTGCCTACATCATTCAAAACATCTTTTGTATGCAGATGACAAAAAAATTTTTCGCATAATCAATTAACACGACGATTGCTTACTCCTTCAATCTGACCTAGACCGACTAACAGACTATTATCAACTCAATAAAATAAGTGTCAACGCTCAAAAATGCCAAATAATTAGCTTTACTCGGAAAAAACACCTTATCAGCTATGACTATAGCATAAGCTATGAGTCTATTCCCAGAACATCACAGATAAGGGACTTAGGTGTTATTTTAGACAGTAAGTTTACATTTAAAGTTCACGTTGATCAAGTAATCAGTAAGGCCTATAAATCACTGGGGTTTGTCATACGCAATAGTAAACCGTTTAAAGACCTGCACTGTCTTAAGGTTCTTTATTACAGCTATGTTCGAAGTGAAGTGAAGAAACCGCTCGCAAACATCGCCAAATTTTCAATCGAGAAAGTGCACCTAATGTGTCAACCATTCGAAGAGTGGTCAAAAAATTTGAAGAAACGTGGCCGATTAAGGATATTAAGAATCCTTTGCGTCAACGTACCGGTCGGTCTCTTGAAAATATTGCTGCTGTAAACGAGTGTCGACGAAAACCCGAAAACATCAATTCGGCATCGTTATCAACAACTGCAAATTTTAAAAAAAGACTACCTTCATGCGTACAAGATTCAGCTAACTCAGGAGTTCAAAGCAGGTAAACCAACCAATGGGTAATGGAGCAAAGTGAAGTCGATGCTAATTTTTAAAAAAAAAGCCATCTTCTCCGACGAAGCGCATTGTCGAATTTGATGCTCAGAAAATTCTCATGCAATCCATGAGAAACAAATGCACCTACAACGAGCAACTATCTGGTACGGATTTTGGTCAGGCGACGTGATTGGGTCTTACTTTTTTGGAGATGAGGCCGAAATTGTAGTGACTGTAAATGGCATTCGTTACAGGAATATGATACCGTAGTTCTTGTGGCCTCAACTGAACGGCATGGATCTGAACAACATGTGGTTTCAGCAACGGCGCCACCTGCCACACCGCGCATGAAACAATCGACTTATTGCAGCAACGATTTCCAGAATACATTATCTCACGAAATACCTACTGATGTCAACTGGCCACCAAGTTCGTGCGATTTTTTTTTTTCTTTTGGGGTTTTGTGAAATTTCGGGTTTATGCGAATAAACCGGAAAAACAATTCCTTAACACAAATCAGAGATCCAACGCGTCATCAGTGAGATACAGCCACATCTCTGTCTAAGTCATGGAAAATTTCATGAAAAGAGTAATGGCCTATCATCAGAGCCGTAGGGGCCGTTTGCCCTTATTTTTTTTAATACTTGGATTGTAAAGAAGACATGTTCTGATTAACAGAACTTGTCTTCTTTACAATCCAATCATCCATCCATCATCAATCCAATATCACAACTTTTTCATGAAAGACGTGTTTTATTTTAAAACGAAAAAGTGCAATTTTGAGACACCTTTATTATTACTTTTAAGTCTAGTTAGCGGTGGCGTGTGGGTTATTAATACTAGAAAAGTGTACTATAAAACGCCGCATCCTCAGATCTTCTTAACAATCATATTTTTTAAATCAATAATTAAGTGTTATCTAAAATAAGTAATTTTAAATAATTTTCCATAAAATTTTATTTGTACTTAGAAATGCAATATTCGACATTTAGTAGTTATAAAAACTTGTTGTTCAACGTCTTCATTTGTCATTCCGAAACAATGGAAGGGCAGTTAGGGCCGATGTCGACGTTTGTAAGAATGCATAAAGGGAGTAACAGTACAACAGTACAGTTTTATTGTTTTACTGCCCAGCTTCTGTAGCCGTAGGAGGCAGCACCTTAAAATATTGAGTAAAAACGTTTAAGTTTAAATACAAGCAATTAAACAGATTTACAACCGGCTCCGTTCTCGGAATGGTAACAAAATCAGACAAAAATTGTCATTTGTTTTTTTTCGATAGCTGAAATTGTGATAATCACTGTTTAGTATTGTGTTTGTTATTGTCAAAATATTAAAACTTGATAAACGTGTGTTATCTTTAATATTTAATGTAATAATTTAGCTTAGAATAAATAGGATTGTCCATTTTGGCAATGACATCTAACATTTCACGCATTCCTGTTATAAGTTTCTTAAAAACCAATTAAATAAAACAAAATATGTAAAAGGAGGCAAACAAGAAGATAGAAATATG